ATTGCAATCGATTATAATCAAAAAGATACATCTAGAAAAATCACGGAACAACATGGAACCATAAAACCTATTGATTTGAAGAAGAAAAATAAACTTAAAGTGACATCTGAAACAGTACAAAATGCTTTAGTGAACGCAAGAGAGAAAAAAGCGTCAAATTCAGAAAATAATATGAAGAGGAAGAGGGATGATCGAACTATATGTGCTGCTCAACAGAAAAAGCAAAAACTGTCTCAAAATATTCTAGACAATTTTATTAACTCAAGAAAGGCTCAAAAGAAATCTGTTAAAGAAAAAATATCGTCAGATCTTCATAATATTGTAAGTGTTACTGAATTTGTAAAACCGCAAGAAGCCCGACCATTAAAAGTAGATCAAAGATTGGAAATTTTGAAGAAATGCAAGCAGCTAAAAACTCAATCAAAAGTGAAAATACGTCCGTATTTGTACACAAAATACTGTTAGGCAAAATATAAAATTTTATACGAGTATAAAGACGGATATTTTTGTTAATAATATTTAATATGAAATATGAAGTGTGAAATGACAAAGTATTTCTTACTGATACTCTTAATACTACATACATTCTCTTGTAAATAGACATACATATCTTGTAAATACATATATATATATAAATTTATTTAAAATATAATTGATGTGATGATAAATAATAATTAAATAAAATATATTAGTTAATTCTTAATTAATTGCTTTTATTTGTTTTTGAAATTTGTAACGAAATGTATGGGTCGTATGAATTATATATCCTCATTGCGAACTCAGACTGATAACACCGTGAAATAGGTACAATAGGTACCTGGAACATGGCTGTAAGACTTGACACGAAATATAGTTATATCTGTATGGATCTTAAAATTTTATTGAAATGCACAATTATTATTGTAGTGTTATTGGATTACTTCTGGTAGATCCAATGGTAAAAATTTATTCAAACCAAACATAAAAATACTCTAGATATGAAAAAACAATACTGTAAAGCAATAAAAATAATTTAGAATGTATTTCATATACGTAATATTATACGCAACAGAAGTTTAGAAACAAACCAGGTAGAAATTTTGTTGAGCATTTAATAGTGCACATTGAAGAAGCAAGGGTTCTGAAACAAGTCATATGGGTTTCTTATAATTATAGATGTTATGAATATCTCTTCAACTATAAATACCTGTGAATAGGTAGTTTATTTTATAATTTTAAACAAAACAAATAAATAACAAATAATAAAAAATAAAGTCACTTGATCGCAAGTTATCCCTAAATTATGTATAAAAGTAGAAAAGTGAAATTGCTCACAGCATTCGTTATCTGGCTTTCGTTAAGTGCACATATATTGTAGACTAAGAGTAATAGAACTTATAACAATTTTCGCAATGGAATACGACAATAATCATCATTTCGATCAAGAATTCGATTTGTTATTTGAAGTAGCTGGTGGTAAAAGACACATCGTGGAATTAACATCACAAAGTGAAATCAAGCATGACGAACCACTAACCTACAGACCAGTAAAATCTGCAAGAAGAAGAATAGCACACGTACCGAAATATATGAATGATGTGGATGTTATTGCAATCGATTATAATCAAAAAGATACATCTAGAAAAATCACGGAACAACATGGAACCATAAAACCTATTGATTTGAAGAAGAAAAATAAACTTAAAGTGACATCTGAAACAGTACAAAATGCTTTAGTGAACGCAAGAGAGAAAAAAGCGTCAAATTCAGAAAATAATATGAAGAGGAAGAGGGATGATCGAACTATATGTGCTGCTCAACAGAAAAAGCAAAAACTGTCTCAAAATATTCTAGACAATTTTATTAACTCAAGAAAGGCTCAAAAGAAATCTGTTAAAGAAAAAATATCGTCAGATCTTCATAATATTGTAAGTGTTACTGAATTTGTAAAACCGCAAGAAGCCCGACCATTAAAAGTAGATCAAAGATTGGAAATTTTGAAGAAATGCAAGCAGCTAAAAACTCAATCAAAAGTGAAAATACGTCCGTATTTGTACACAAAATACTGTTAGGCAAAATATAAAATTTTATACGAGTATAAAGACGGATATTTTTGTTAATTATATTTAATATGAAATATGAAATGTGAAATGACAAAGTATTTCTTACTGATACTCTTAATACTACATACATACTCTTGTAAATAGACATACATATCTTGTAAATACATATATATATATAAATTTATTTAAAATATAATTAATGTGATGATAAATAATAATTAAATAAAATATATTAGTTAATTCTTAATTAATTGCTTTTATTTGTTTTTGAAATTTGTAACAAAATGTATGGGTCGTATGAATTATATATCCTCATTGCGAACTCAGACTGATAACACCGTGAAATAGGTACAATAGGTACCTGGAACATGGCTGTAAGACTTGACACGAAATATAGTTATATCTGTATGGATCCTAAAATTTTATTGAAATGCACAATTATTATTGTAGTGTTATTGGATTACTTCTGGTAGATCCAATGGTAAAAATTTATTCAAACCAAACATAAAAATACTCTAGATATGAAAAACAATACTGTAAAGCAATAAAAATAATTTAGAATGTATTTCATATACATAATATTATACGCAACAGAAGTTTAGAAACAAACCAGGTAGAAATTTTGTTGAGCATTTAATAGTGCACATTGAAGAAGCAAGGGTTCTGAAACAAGTCATATGGGTTTCTTATAATTATAGATGTTATGAATATCTCTTCAACTATAAATACCTGTGAATAGGTAGTTTATTTTATAATTTTAAACAAAACAAATAAATAACAAATAATAAAAAATAAAGTCACTTGATCGCAAGTTATCCCTAAATTATGTATAAAAGTAGAAAAGTGAAATTGCTCACAGCATTCGTTATCTGGCTTTCGTTAAGTGCACATATATTGTAGACTAAGAGTAATAGAACTTATAACAATTTTCGCAATGGAATACGACAGTAATCATCATTTCGATCAAGAATTCGATTTGTTATTTGAAGTAGCTGGTGGTAAAAGACACATCGTGGAATTAACATCACAAAGTGAAATCAAGCATGACGAACCACTAACCTACAGACCAGTAAAATCTGCAAGAAGAAGAATAGCACACGTACCGAAATATATGAATGATGTGGATGTTATTGCAATCGATTATAATCAAAAAGATACATCTAGAAAAATCACAGAACAACATGGAACCATACAACCTATTGATTTGAAGAAGAAAAATAAACTTAAAGTGACATCTCAAACAGTACAAAATGCTTTAGTGAACGCAAGAGAGAAAAAAGCGTCAAATTCAGAAAATAATATGAAGAGGAAGAGGGATGATCGAACTATATGTGCTGCTCAACAGAAAAAGCATAAAATGTCTCAAAATATTCTGGACAATTTTATTAACTCAAGAAAGTCTCAAAAGAAATCCGTTAAAGAAAAACTATCGTCAGATCTTAATAATATTGTAAGTGTTACTGAATTTGTAAAACCGCAAGAAGCCCGACCATTAAAAGTAGATCAAAGATTGGAAATTTTGAAGAAATGCAAGCAGCTAAAAATTCAATCAAAAGTGAAAATACGTCCGTATTTGTACACAAAATACTGTTAGGCAAAATATAAAATTTTATACGAGTATAAAGACGGATATTTTTGTTAATAATATTTAATATGAAATGTGATATTCATTTATTTGTTTTTGAAATGTGTAACAAAATTTATGGGTCCTATGAATTATATATCCTCATTGCGAACTCAGACTGATAACACCGTGAAATGGGTACAATTATTTACCTAGAACATGGCTGTAAGACTTGACACGAAATATAGTTATATCTGTATGGATCTTAAAATTTTATTGAAATGCACAATTATTATTGTAGTGTTATTGGATTACTTCTGGTAGATTCAATGGTAAAAATTTATTCAAACCAAACATAAAAATACTCTAGATATGAAAAAACAATACTGTAAAGCAATAAAAATAATTTAGAATGTATTTCATATACGTAATATTATACGCAACAGAAGTTTAGAAACAAACCAGGTAGAAATTTTGTTGAGCATTTAATAGTGCACATTGAAGAAGCAAGGGTTCTGAAACAAGTCATATGGGTTTCTTATAATTTTAGATGTTATGAATATCTCTTCAACTATAAATACCTGTGAATAAGTAATTTATTTTATAATTTTAAACAAAACAAATAAATAACAAATAATAAAAAATAAAGTCACTTGATCGCAAGTTATCCCTAAATTATGTATAAAAGTAGAAAAGTGAAATTGCTCACAGCATTCGTTATCTGGTTTTCGTTAAGTGCACATATATTGTAGACTAAGAGTAATAGAACTTATAACAATTTTCGCAATGGAATACGACAGTAATCATCATTTCGATCAAGAATTCGATTTGTTATTTGAAGTAGCTGGTGGTAAAAGACACATCGTGGAATTAACATCACAAAGTGAAATCAAGCATGATGAACCACTAACCTACAGACCAGTAAAATCTGCAAGAAGAAGAATAGCACACGTACCGAAATATATGAATGATGTGGATGTTATTGCAATCGATTATAATCAAAAAGATACATCTAGAAAAATCACAGAACAACATGGAACCATACAACCTATTGATTTGAAGTAGAAAAATAAACTTAAAGTGACATCTCAAACAGTACAAAATGCTTTAGTGAACGCAAGAGAGAAAAAAGCGTCAAATTCAGAAAATAATATGAAGAGGAAGAGGGATGATCGAACTATATGTGCTGCTCAACAGAAAAAGCATAAAATGTCTCAAAATATTCTGGACAATTTTATTAACTCAAGAAAGTCTCAAAAGAAATCCGTTAAAGAAAAACTATCGTCAGATCTTCATAATATTGTAAGTGTTACTGAATTTGTAAAACCGCAAGAAGCCCGACCATTAAAAGTAGATCAAAGATTGGAAATTTTGAAGAAATGCAAGCAGCTAAAAACTCAATCAAAAGTGAAAATACGTCCGTATTTGTACACAAAATACTGTTAGGCAAAATATAAAATTTTATACGAGTATAAAGACGGATATTTTTGTTAATAATATTTAATATGAAATGTGAAATGACAAAGTATTTCTTACTGATACTCTTAATACTACATATTCATACTCTTGTAAATAGACATACATATCTTGTAAATACATATATATATATAAATTTATTTAAAATATAATTAATGTGATGATAAATAATAATTAAATAAAATATATTAGTTAATTTTTAATTAATTGCTTTTATTTGTTTTTAACAAAATTTATGGGTCGTATGAATTATATATCCTCATTGCGAACTCAGACTGATAACACCGTGAAATGGGTACAATTATTTACCTGGAACATGGCTGTAAAACTTGACACGAAATATAGTTATATCTGTATGGATCTTAAAATTTTATTGAAATGCACAATTATTATTGTAGTGTTATTGGATTACTTCTGGTAGATCCAATGGTAAAAATTTATTCAAACCAAACATAAAAATACTCTAGATATGAAAAACAATACTGTAAAGCAATAAAAATAATTTAGAATGTATTTCATATACGTAATATTATACGCAACAGAAGTTTAGAAACAAACCAGGTAGAAATTTTGTTGAGCATTTAATAGTGCACATTGAAGAAGCAAGGGTTCTGAAACAAGTCATATGGGTTTCTTATAATTATAGATGTTATGAATATCTCTTCAACTATAAATACCTGTGAATAGGTAGTTTATTTTATAATTTTAAACAAAACAAATAAATAACAAATAATAAAAAATAAAGTCACTTGATCGCAAGTTATCCCTAAATTATGTATAAAAGTAGAAAAGTGAAATTGCTCACAGCATTCGTTATCTGGTTTTCGTCAAGTGCACATATATTGTAGACTAAGAGTAATAGAACTTATAACAATTTTCGCAATGGAATACGACAGTAATCATCATTTCGATCAAGAATTCGATTTGTTATTTGAAGTAGCTGGTGGTAAAAGACACATCGTGGAATTAACATCACAAAGTGAAATCAAGCATGATGAACCACTAACCTACAGACCAGTAAAATCTGCAAGAAGAAGAATAGCACACGTACCGAAATATATGAATGATGTGGATGTTATTGCAATCGATTATAATCAGAAAGATACATCTAGAAAAATCACAGAACAACATGGAACCATACAACCTATTGATTTGAAGAAGAAAAATAAACTTAAAGTGACATCTCAAACAGTACAAAATGCTTTAGTGAACGCAAGAGAGAAAAAAGCGTCAAATTCAGAAAATAATATGAAGAGGAAGAGGGATGATCGAACTATATGTGCTGCTCAACAGAAAAAGCATAAACTGTCTCAAAATATTCTGGACAATTTTATTAACTCAAGAAAGTCTCAAAAGAAATCTGTTAAAGAAAAAATATCGTCAGATCTTCATAATATTGTAAGTGTTACTGAATTTGTAAAACCGCAAGAAGCCCGACCATTAAAAGTAGATCAAAGATTGGAAATTTTGAAGAAATGCAAGCAGCTAAAAACTCAATCAAAAGTGAAAATACGTCCGTATTTGTACACAAAATACTGTTAGGCAAAATATAAAATTTTATACGAGTATTAAGACGGATATTTTTGTTAATAATATTTAATATGAAATGTGAAATGTCAAAGTATTTCTTACTGATACTCTTAATACTACATACATACTCTTGTAAATAGACATACATATCTTGTAAATACATATATATATATATATAAATTTATTTAGAATATAATTAATGTGATGATAAATAATAATTAAATAAAATATATTAGTTAATTCTTAATTAATTGCTTTTATTTGTTTTTGAAATGTGTAACAAAATTTATGGGTCGTATGAATTATATATCCTCATTGCGAACTCAGACTGATAACACCGTGAAATGGGTACAATTATTTACCTAGAACATGGCTGTAAGACTTGACACGAAATATAGTTATATCTGTATGGATCTTAAAATTTTATTGACAATTATTATTGCACAATTATTATTGTAGTGTTATTGGATTACTTCTGGTAGATCCAATGGTAAAAATTTATTCAAACCAAACATAAAAATACTCTAGATATGAAAAAACAATACTGTAAAGCAATAAAAATAATTTAGAATGTATTTCATATACGTAATATTATACGCAACAGAAGTTTAGAAACAAACCAGGTAGAAATTTTGTTGAGCATTTAATAGTGCACATTGAAGAAGCAAGGGTTCTGAAACAAGTCATATGGGTTTCTTATAATTTTAGATGTTATGTATATCTCTTCAACTATAAATACCTGTGAATAGGTAGTTTATTTTATAATTTTAAACAAAACAAATAAATAACAAATAATAAAAAATAAAGTCACTTGATCGCAAGTTATCCCTAAATTATGTATAAAAGTAGAAAAGTGAAATTGCTCACAGCATTCGTTATCTGGCTTTCGTTAAGTGCACATATATTGTAGACTAAGAGTAATAGAACTTATAACAATTTTCGCAATGGAATACGACAGTAATCATCATTTCGATCAAGAATTCGATTTGTTATTTGAAGTAGCTGGTGGTAAAAGACACATCGTGGAATTAGCATCACAAAGTGAAATCAAGCATGACGAACCACTAACCTACAGACCAGTAAAATCTGCAAGAAGAAGAATAGCACACGTACCGAAATATATGAATGATGTGGATGTTATTGCAATCGATTATAATCAAAAAGATACATCTAGAAAAATCACGGAACAACATGGAACCATAAAACCTATTGATTTGAAGAAGAAAAATAAACTTAAAGTGACATCTCAAACAGTACAAAATGCTTTAGTGAACGCAAGAGAGAAAAAAGCGTCAAATTCAGAAAATAATATGAAGAGGAAGAGGGATGATCGAACTATATGTGCTGCTCAACAGAAAAAGCAAAAACTGTCTCAAAATATTCTAGACAATTTTATTAACTCAAGAAAGGCTCAAAAGAAATCTGTTAAAGAAAAAATATCGTCAGATCTTCATAATATTGTAAGTGTTACTGAATTTGTAAAACCGCAAGAAGCCCGACCATTAAAAGTAGATCAAAGATTGGAAATTTTGAAGAAATGCAAGCAGCTAAAAACTCAATCAAAAGTGAAAATACGTCCGTATTTGTACACAAAATACTGTTAGGCAAAATATAAAATTTTATACGAGTATAAAGACGGATATTTTTGTTAATAATATTTAATATGAAATATGAAATGTGAAATGACAAAGTATTTCTTACTGATACTCTTAATACTACATACATACTCTTGTAAATAGACATACATATTTTGTAAATACATATATATATATAAATTTATTTAAAATATAATTAATGTGATGATAAATAATAATTAAATAAAATATATTAGTTAATTCTTAATTAATTGCTTTTATTTGTTTTTGAAATTTGTAACAAAATGTATGGGTCGTATGAATTATATATCCTCATTGCGAACTCAGACTGATAACATCGTGAAATGGGTACAATATTTACCTAGAACATGGCTGTAAGACTTGACACGAAATATAGTTATATCTGTATGGATCTTAAAATTTTATTGAAATGCACAATTATTATTGCAGTGTTATTGGATTACTTCTGGTAGATCCAATGGTAAAAATTTATTCAAACCAAACATAAAAATACTCTAGATATGAAAAACAATACTGTAAAGCAATAAAAATAATTTAGAATGTATTTCATATACGTAATATTATACGCAACAGAAGTTTAGAAACAAACCAGGTAGAAATTTTGTTGAGCATTTAATAGTGCACATTGAAGAAACAAGGGTTCTGAAACAAGTCATATGGGTTTCTTATAATTATAGATGTTATGAATATCTCTTCAACTATAAATACCTGTGAATAAGTAATTTATTTTATAATTTTAAACAAAACAAATAAATAACAAATAATAAAAAATAAAGTCACTTGATCGCAAGTTATCCCTAAATTATGTATAAAAGTAGAAAAGTGAAATTGCTCACAGCATTCGTTATCTGGTTTTCGTTAAGTGCACATATATTGTAGACTAAGAGTAATAGAACTTATAACAATTTTCGCAATGGAATACGACAGTAATCATCATTTCGATCAAGAATTCGATTTGTTATTTGAAGTAGCTGGTGGTAAAAGACACATCGTGGAATTAACATCACAAAGTGAAATCAAGCATGACGAACCACTAACCTACAGACCAGTAAAATCTGCAAGAAGAAGAATAGCACACGTACCGAAATATATGAATGATGTGGAAGTTATTGCAATCGATTATAATCAGAAAGATACATCTAGAAAAATCACGGAACAACATGGAACCATAAAACCTATTGATTTGAAGAAGAAAAATAAACTTAAAGTGACATCTCAAACAGTACAAAATGCTTTAGTGAACGCAAGAGAGAAAAAAGCGTCAAATTCAGAAAATAATATGAAGAGGAAGAGGGATGATCGAACTATATGTGCTGCTCAACAGAAAAAGCATAAAATGTCTCAAAATATTCTGGACAATTTTATTAACTCAAGAAAGTCTCAAAAGAAATCCGTTAAAGAAAAACTATCGTCAGATCTTCATAATATTGTAAGTGTTACTGA